TTTCCCAGCTCTGGGACGCTGGGTTGTGCAGTCTGTCCCACTACCTAATTTTGCCTGGCTTATCTGTGGACAAATGTAGGACTGCCTGGTCCGCCAGCCACCTTGCACACCACATCCCTCCACAATCCACCCCCTCACTGGGTCTGCCAGCTACTGCCTTGAGCGCCAGGGTCCGCCCCTCCTACTGGTCTGGATGAATGTGCCTTCTTTAACTCCTTGTTTGTCAGACTTGCACACAGTTCAATTTTTGGGGCGTTCTGGTTGTTTTTTTGTTTTTAAATTGTTATTGTCATTGTTTTGGTTGTACAAGGAGGCACAGTGTGTCCACTTACGCCTCCATGGCAGGACATGAGTGGTCAGTTTTGAATGCACACACACTTTTCATTCACTCACTGTTGTGGGGTGGGGGCTCCGCTCACAGAGCACCCCCCATCTGCTACAGATGAGAAGTCTACCAAGACATGATCTGCCTGGGGAGGACAGGTGACCGATCTCTCAGAGGAGAAGGGCCAGGAGCCTATTCCTCGCTGGGCTTTTACTGGGTTCAGTTTGCACAGGAATACAGGTAAAGCTCATCAATCATTGTCAGGCAGTGAGGGCCAACCAATGATCATATTCAGAGAACTAAGAGGGCTTATTCTGAGTCAGGGTCAGTTAGCTAAAAGGCTGTGAAACTTGGGGAAATAGACTCATTTAAGGCTTAGACCCTTATCAGAAAATTGAGGGCATTCTTAGCAAAGCAGGTTCCACAGGATTTTATGCATTCTTTCTGAGGCCTGATCTCTCCTGGGAACCAACAGCCTGTTCCTGCCCAGGGCTGCACCACCCTCCAGCATTGTTTCAGGCTTAAGTCAGGCAGGGGGAGTAAGGCAGCCAAGAGATTAGGAGCCTTCTCGCAGACAGAATGAGGACTCAGGCTATGTCAAAGACTTGGGGTCAGGGTCCATTACCCCCTTTTTCTCTAGCCCCCCCAAGTCCTTTTCTGAGGACTCCTTTATGACTGTTTCTGTCTTAGGATGTCCTTCCCTTGAGGAAACTTACCCATCATTGGCTAACCAGGCATTTGCCCAGGGCTAAGCAGAGTGAAGTAAAAGGGGTCAGAGGCAGTGCCTCTGCCAGAAAGATAAGCTTTGTTGCCTTAGTGGCTTATGGTCCCAAGGTCCTTTACTTGGCCTTAGCCATAGGGGTTTACAGCTTCTGAATCAAGGCAGGGCAGTTCCCAACAACTCACCTTAAATTTCTGACTGCTAAGACAGCACAAATATCACTTGATAGAAGGACGTGCAAGTTCTTCTGGGGTTAGTCTAGTAAGATGATTTGACAAGCCTGAGGAAGGTGCGTGTGCTGCAGGATCCCAGCTCTGGGTAAGCTGTGCACACTGAAGGAGGTTGCTGAGAAAGCACTTTGGAACCAGGGAGGAAAAACACTATAATACATGGTCTCTCCACTGACAAAGCTTAACATTCTGCCAGCTGAGAAAGTAAAACAATTAAAGGGCCATATCTATTTTCACAAAGCATGTAATGAAAGGTAGATTTGGAAGTGATAGGTAATAAATTAATAATGGGCACACTATATTTTAAGGTGTATTATACAAAGAGTACAAATTTACTATCTACACTTTTTATAACAAATAACTGGGTTTAAAAGCAGTGTTCATACTATATATGGATTCTGTGACTTTTGAATGATAAAAATTCGAGAATTACCTAATGTTTTGAATGTTCTGATTGAATTTTCCTATTTTTTCAATTTTGTTTCTGATTACAGAAGAGGATTCAATACTAGTTCTGAGTTCTGTTACATATCAGCATATCTACATTGTATCAGTCAGAGGAGATTAACATGCTGGATGGCAGACAACTCCAAACTGCAATTGCTTAACACAGCAAAAGTTTATTTCTCCAATTGAATATCCACATGCAAAAAGATGCATATAGACCTATGAACTCAAAATGGATCATAGACTTACATGTGAGAGCTAAGCCTATAAAACTTCTAGAAGAAAACATAATAGAAAATCTCTGATCTTGAGTCAAGCCAAGACTTCTTAGGTACAAGATCAAAAGCATATGGCATTAAAAAATAAATTGTATTTCATCAAAATTAAAAATCTTTTGTGCTTCAACAGACACCATTAAGAAAGTGAAAAGCTATTGACTGGGAGAAACTATTTGCAAATCATGTATCTGATAAAGGACTTGTTTCCAGGATATATAAAGACCTCTTATAATTTGGTAATAAGACAAACAACCCAGTTAAAATAGGTGGGTAAAGGATTTTAATATATGCTTTACCAAAGAAGATCTAAGAAGAGTTAATAAGCACATGAAAAAGTGCTCAACATCATTAGCCATTAGGGAACTATATATTGAAATCACAATGAAAAACCACTTCCCTTTCAGTAGAATGAGTAAAATAAAAGAGATAGACAACAGTACAAATTGGTGGGGATGTTGACAAATCAGAATCCTCAAACATCATTCATATTTTGGAAAAACAGTTCAGTAGTATCTTAAAATGTTAATCATAAACTTACTATACAATACAGCAATTCCACTTCTAGAAATCTACACAAGCAAAATAAAAGCAAATATCTACACAAAGACTTGTATGTAAATGTTCATAGCAGCATTATTTATAATAGTCCCCCAAATTGGAAACAATCCAAATATGCATCAACTGGTGAATGGAAAAGCAAAATATGGTACAGTTATACAAGAGTATTATTCAGCAATATAAAAGAAAGAACTGACACATGGCACAACGCAGATGAACCTTAGAAATACTGTATTGGGTGAAAGAAGCCAGAACAAAAGACTATATATTGTGTGAGTCCATTTATATGAAGTGGCCAGAAAAGGCAAATCTATAGAAACAATAGGTTTACCTGGGGTCGTTAGTGGGGACACGGCTGACTGAAAATGGGCATAGTGACTATTTTTGGGGTGGTGGAAATGTTCTAAAACTGGATTGTGGTGATGGTTGCACAAATCTAGTCTCTGCTTATTTTCGCTTAGGGACCCAGAGTGACAGGTATTCTATCTCAACACATGCTTCCATGATCACCAGTGCAATGGGGATGGGACTGTGCCTCTCTGCCTCTTAAAGATTTTCCTAGGAAGTGGTATCACTTCCTCTCTCATTTTATTGGTAAAATCAAGTTGCAGGGCCATGCCTAACTTCAAGTGTGCAAGAGAGTACAAGTCGAAAGGAAAAGAAGAATTTTGGGGAACCCTAATGACTTTCACAGAAATAAATAATGACGGCAATAAAGGGAACAGTGTACTCTGACTGTAGTTATTTTGCTTTGTACTTCTGAAGGACTTGACATTTGTTCTTTCTTAAAGTCCTAATCCTTTCCATGCTCCTTTGAGATTTCTAAGAAAACAGTAACAGGGATTCTTTGTGTATTAATTACTGTGACTCCCTCAGTGTCCTTAATTCCCTGAGCACCTAGTTTCCTTATATTAGAGGACTGACTGCGCTTTTGCAGTCATATGTTTACACAGAAAAACAAGCTTTTTAAAAAACAGGGATCATTGACTTCTCTAATGTTTAAGGGATTAGAACACTTCTGTTCTAAAGAGGCCAAAATTATAACAGTAAACAGAAATTATAGGAAGGCAAATTGTGCATCCAGATAAGGGAGAATTTTCTAATTATTAGTGTTTTTGAAATTAAAACGAGTGTCTCTGAGGTGCTGAACCACTGAAGATGTTCAAGTTGAGAGAAACGTGGAGAACTTAAGACCAAATGTTCTCCAAAGCTGGTGTTCTATGATTAGGCTTAGTTGCACAGCAAACCAAGCTGTTTGTGTAATATCTTTATCTATTTTTGACTATATCTACATTTTTTTAAAAGTCAAAACTCTCCTACCAAAAGTGTGAAAGGAATTGAAGCAGAATTTATGAAAAAATATGTTACAACAAAATTCAGAGAAAATGAAACTTGAAAGGTAGCAAATAGGTTAAGGCTGTAGTAAGAAGACAGACTTAAAACCTGATTAGGACTATTAGTCTGGAGAAGCAAAAGAGTGGAAGGGTGTAATTAAAATATTTAAAATATTTAATAGTGTGAATAATATGAATGTTATTTGCCAGATCAGAGGCTGAGGGAATATCTGTTGAAATATGAGCAAAGTGAGTTTAGGCCATAAAAGATATTTTTGCTGAGAGAAAAAAAAAGCATGGTATTAATTATCGCTGTAATATAATATGAGATAAAAACATGAAATATTTTGAAAATATTTTGACATACTTATAAACAAAGGTACCACACGTGGCTGCTAATAGGAACTGGGTTGTATCTAAGTCAGAGAGACAAGCTTGCACTCTCAAGTTTGTCGCTTGGGACCTCTGACCGCAGCGGTGGATTGGCAGGTCTGCCCTAGTATCAAAAAGTTTGTGTTCCTAAAATAAACTACTTTGCACAGGATTATTCTCAGATTTCACCACAATTAGGAAGGATTGCAAAGCAGATACACAGAAAAACCTTTCACTGTCAGGGGAAAACCCTCCGAAAACCTTCCATAGAAGCAGCTCCTGATTAGCAGGAATTTAGGGCTGGGCAATAATCGCCGAACGAAATTTAATTGTAACCTCCAGGGTATTTTGCTCAATGAAGGAAATTCGACCAGCAGGCCTCAGGGTGAAGTCAGAAGAAAGGTACTGTATCTAAGGTTTTCTCCACGGAAAAGGAGTCGGCACGGCAAGCCGGAGCAAGCAATGTTCCATTCTCCAGGAGAAGACTATGCACAGCACACACCCGACACTTCACAGAGGAGAAACCACAGAGCCACAAGCGAAGGTCAGAAGCGCAGCGCTCACTATTGTGTTAGCACCGGTGGCGGAAGGACGTAGTCCCACCGCAACATTAAAGAGTCCTTCTTTGTTCAGTTTTGGTCGTAGACGCTGACAGTGGTGTTCTTCCGCGCTCGCTGCGCAGACCCCGCCTCCTCACGGCCCTGGAGAGCTGCCATTCGGCACTGGAGCGGCTCTGCGCTCCCAGAATGCACCGGCAGTCCGCGGGAAACCAAAATGGCGAAGGGCTGTAGCGGAGTAGGCTGTGTTTAAGGCTGGTGTAAGAACACTCACTGTTAGCCCCCAACCCTCGTCCTCAGGACTTTGGTTTGTGCGTGTGTATGTGCGGGGTGCCCGGTGGGGCGGGTGTCCAGTAAGTGCTCAGACTCGCAGGGGAAGCGCCCACGGGGACGTGATTGGTTGTTTTTTCCTGTATGAAGCGGTTGGCACCACTGAAGCGACCGAATGAGGTGAGAGACCTTGGCCTGGGGACCATGCTTTTCGGGAGGAGATTGTGGGGGGGGGGGCGAAGAAAGGAAACAAGTAATAAAAGGGAAAGATGGAGGATCGAGGTGGGGGTGGTGGCTGCAGTATGTGTTATGTGGGTGCCTTGCATTTATGCTTATAATGAAAAGAATGGATGAAAAGGAGTAGTCAGGTGTTGGGGAAACTAGAGAATAAGGGAGGTAGCTGGGCATTAGGGAAGTCGGTTGGAGGAACGTTGAGACGGGGAAACAGTATTTGGAGGGGCAGGAAGGAACCTGGGGGGGGAGACGGTTGGAGGGGCAGGATGAACCTGGTGATGAAGGGGTGGGGAACTGAGGGGAGGAGCCGTTAGGAAATAAGGACTGAGGGAGATGTGGGGTACAAAGTGAAGGGGCTGCCTGGGACCTTAGGGGGCGCAAAGGGAAGTAGGAGATTTGAACGGGAGTGTGGTGAAATTGAATAGAATTGGAGTATGGGGGTATAGTAAAAGGGCTGGATGGAGTACAAGGATAAAGGGAACACTAAGTTCCCCTGAGGTAAACCCTGAAAGCTTAAAGGGAAGAGCTGCCTTACATTTGGAGGACACCAAAAATCTGAGGCCACTCTTCCATTTAATTGAGTCTAATTGATATGTCTGCTTAGATGTAGACTTTTGTTATTGTGTTCATTTTTTTAATAACTGAGGTAATTGCGGTTTAAGGGATTTAAACTAATTTGCCAAGATTTCTTAACATATTTTGGTAGTGCCAGAACTCTGAACTCTGGGTGTTTTACAATCTGGTGTCCTTGGTTGCTAGAATTTGTCTTTGGAAGCAACTAGAAGGAACAGATGGATTTGTTGGGGCGATATGATGAACAGTGAGGGTTCATGAACAATGAGAAAAAGTATATGGAATGATATTCTATTCCTTAAAGCGTTTAACTTTAGTGAGAGAAAGAACCCATTTACTAATACAAATAAGAAAACCTAGGTCGGCCTGTGCATAACATAAGAAAGCATGTGAGGTCAGTCATAACTAGAAATATGTAAATAGTGCCTGATTTAATTTGACTCCAGATGCTCTGGTAGTAACTTTCTCCTTCAGATTGATTCCATGTGACCCTCCTGTATACTTTGCCTACAGGCTGGTTTCAATTTCCTTGTTTTCATTCTCTCGAGAATTCCTTTTTTGGCAGTGGATTGCAAAGACAGTGAATTGAAAAGTAATGTGGGTAAGGTAAATACTGAAATTCTTGAGTGACTTTTTAAAAAGGTTTAAATTGCTTTAAATGGCACCATTTTTACTTAAAGTTTTAGGTACCCAGTCTTTTTGACAAGGAAAGAGTTGATTTTAAATTTTTAAAAAGATTTTATTTATTTATTTTTAGACAGAGGGAAAGGGAGGGAGAAATACAGAAACATCCGTGTCTGGTTGCCTCCTGCATGCCCCCCACTGGGGACCTGGCCCCATAAACTAGGCATGTGCCTTGACTGGGAATAGAAATGGTGACCCTTTGGTTCCCAGCCCTCGCTCAATCCAATGAGCTACACCAGCCAGGGCTGATTTTAAATTTCTTAACATACAGCATTCTATTCTTGATATTTGGAAGATTGTTCACATTCCAAGTATTTGCTGTGATAGCTTGAGAAGGAACACAAGGTGAAATCTTTTGTTTTTGTTAGTTTAGGCTCCTAAATTTAAAAAAATTTAATTCATAATACCTACAGTTGTGTGTTTTTTAAAAATATATTTTCTTTCCATATTTTTTGAGAGAGGGGAAGGGAAGGAGAAAGAGTGGGAGAGAAATATCAAGGTATGGTTGCCTCTCATGGGTGCCCTGGTGGGAACTGGACTGCAACCCAGGCATGTGCCCTGACTGGGAATCGAACCACGATACTCTGGTTCGCAGGCCCACGCTCAATCCACTGAGCTATGCCAGCCAGGGCCCATAATACCTACAGTTGTTTTTAAGATACTAAAAATATTCTAAAATATTTGAATTAAGAGTGCACCTGTTTCCTGACAATGTGTGTGATGTTAATGGGCATAAACAGTAATCTATACCTGTTAGAATGAAAGCACACACAATTTTAGAACTAGAAGTACAGAAATTACCTGGCTAAACTTTTTTTCTACATGAAACAAAATATATTTAACAATACCTGTTACCACAGAGCTCAATTTTGCAAGGGATTTTATTCTGTGTATTTTGCTATGTATGGGTGCTTTGATGTCATGGATTATAAATATACCTTTTTATTAGATCCTTGACTAAAAGGATAATTTGCTTCATTTATATTTCATCATAATCTTTATATTTGACTTTGGGAAACTAGCACTATAGTGATCATCTATTTTTCTAAATTAATTAATTTGCTAGAGAGGGAGAATAAGGGAAGGGGGGAGGAAGAAAGAAAAAGGGAAGTGTTGATTTGCTCTTCCACTCATTGATGCATGCATTTGTTTATTCTTGTATGTGCCTTGACCTGGGATCAAACCCACAACCTTGGTATATCAGGGCAATGCTCTAACAAACTGAGCTGCCCACCCAGGGCATGATAATCTACTTTTACACATGGGGAAATTTGCCTGTGAGGTGTTTCCATGGCCAACATCTGTAGCTCGGTGGTTCTGAAAGTAAAATTGACTGTTTCATTTAGTCTAAACTTGTACAAATGATATTCCTTGTTTGACATTTTTATGCTGTGTTTCTCCTGTTTTTCATTGTTTATTGATACAGTATAACAACCCCAAATTGGAATGTGGAAGTTTCCCTGTGGGTGTGTTTATGTATTAGGAGAGTGCTGTCCAATAGAACTTTCTACACTGATGGCAGTGATGTTTTATTGGCTCTATTCAGTATGGTAGCCAATAGCTACATGTGGATGTTGAACACTAAAAATGTAACTGGTGAGACTTGAGAACTTAATTTGTAATTTAATTTAATTAATTAAAACTAAAATTTCAGTGGAGCAGCTAGTGGCTGCTCTATTGGACAGTACAATCTTAGGGGTGATTGCACCTGTTTATTAGGAATTGTCACATCAATTAACCATGGAAACCCAAGGGTAAAGAATTATCTTACAACTAAGGAGATTGAAATCTTCTTAGTACATGTTTAAGATAAAGTATTTTTCTTTTTTGCTACACATCATGTCTTCTGTCATATCTCTGTTTTCATATAACATTGCCAAAAAATAATGAAAGTAGCAACCTCTGTCTTTTCAGGAGAGAAAAGATTGTTTCTTTTGTTGAAAAACAATAAAAATGGAATTAAGGAAAGTTTATTTTATTTTTTTTTTAAGATTTTACTTATTTATCTTTAGAGGGGAAGGGAAGGAGAGAGGGAGAGAAATATCAATGTCTGGTTGCCTCTCGTTCATCCCCTGTTGGGAACTGGCCTGCAACCTAGGCATGTGCCCTAACTGGGAATCAAACCACGATTCTCTGGTTTGCAGGCCTGCACTCAATCCACTGAGCTACACCAGCCAGGGCTGGAAAGTTTATTTTTTAAATATTTAATTTGTTATTTTGAGACATCAGTTAAAAACTTTATTAAGGAAAATTTCAAACATACACAGAGTGAACACATATATTTATTATAATGGACTTTTTTTTGTATCCATGCTTGTTTCATCTATACCTCTACCTATTCCCCCACTTCATTCCATTGTTCCTACTATTTTTTAAAGTTGTTTTTAAGTAAGATATACTTGTATTGAAATGCAGAAATCTTAACTGTACACTTAAAAATAGTAGATTTAGTGTGATATAATATACATACCATACTTATATGTACATAATTCACATGTGTTACCTTTTAAGATACAATTCAGTTATTTTTTTTAATAGTCACAGAGTTGTACAACTGTCATCATTATCTAACTTGAACATTTTCATCACCTCCAAAGGAAAGTCTGTATCTGTGGTCAGTCACTCTTTATTTGTCCCTCCCCCTACCTCTGGCAACCACTGATATATTTATATTTATATTTATATTTATATTTATATTTATATTTATATTTATATTTATATTTATATTTATATTTATATTTATATTTATATTTATATTCATATTTTACCTCTCCTGAACATTTCATATAAATGGAATCATACGATTCTTGACCTTTTGTGTCTGGCTTTTTTCACTTACCAAAGTGTTTTCAAAAGGTACATTCAACTTGTAGTATGTATTTCTACTTCATTCCTGTTTATGGCCAAAATATATTTCATATTATATTTTGTTTATTAGTTGATCGACTTTTGGGTTGTTTCTACTCCTTAGCCATTATAATGATGCTTTGAACATTTACGTACAGGGTTTGTGTGGACATGTGTTTCCATTTCTCTTGGGTACATACCTGAGTGGAATTGCTATGTCATATTCCTCTGTGTTTAACATTTTGAAAAACTTCCAGTTTCCAAAGATCCTGTACCAGCAGCTATGAATATTCTAATTTCTCTGCCCTTGCCAATATTTAGTGTGTCTGCCTTTTTTTATTCTAACCATCCTGGTGGGTGTGCGGTGGTACCTCATTGTGATTTTGATTACCATTATCCTGATGTCTAATGATGTTGAGCATCTTTTCCATGTAGCCATTGGCATTTGTATACCTTTTTTTTTTGAGAACTGCGTATTCATGTCCTTTGCCTGTTTTAAAAATTGAATTACTGCTTCTCTGGCTGGTGTGGCTCAGTGGATTGACTGTTGGCTTGAGAACCAAAGGGTCTCTGGTTCAATTCCCAGTCAGGGAACGTGCCTAAGTTGCCCGTCAGGCCCCTAGTTGGGGGCACACAAGAGGCAACCACACATTAATGTTTCTCTTCCTTTCTTTCTCCCTCTCTTTCCCTCTTTCTAAAAATAAATAAATCTTTAAAAAAAAACCAAAATAAAAATTGGATTACTGCCCTGGCTGGTGGGCAGTAATCCTGGCTCAGTTGATTGGAGCATTGTCCTGTAAACCAAAAGATTTCAGGTTCGATTCCTGGTCAGGGCACATGCC